CTTAAAGATAGTGAGGTCACGCGTATCCTGTGAGCATGGTGAATCCGCGAGGCGCGAGACTTGTATCTCGCGTCTTCGCCGCTCCACGCTCTCAGAGTTGGGCAAAGACAAGACACGTTATTTCGGTGCGATACAAGAGGTTCAATGGTTATCTCGATTATCTAAACACATTTATTTACGTGGTAAAGATTTGTTTTAAATCTATGAACTGATGCTAGTCCTATTTGGAACGAAATGTATTTAAGGAGAAAGTTATGAGAATAAAATAAAAGTTGTCTGTACCACAAAGCATGCCTTCACTGTTTAGACTGATAGTCCTAGAGCTTTTTGAGCATGCATTCGAATATCTTATGACGATAAGCCCGCCAACCACCCCACCCCGCGCTAGCAGAAATTTTTTTTGGGATCGCTTTCTGAAGGAGCTTAGACACCAGGCTCAATCAGGTAACCAAGCCTTCTGATGATTTTACAATTCTATACTCACCTCCCCCGACTGGTTGAAGTGCGATTGGATGGGGACAGGGAAGGGAACATTTTTGTTACTTGCGCGAGAAAAAACAAATGAGAAGTTATCTATTTACCCTATTTTTTTTTTTAATTTTCGCGTGAAAGAATATTACCTTATCTCGCTGCGCTCCGTTCAAATACGAATCTTCTGCCTTTGGCTAAAATACGCTTTCTTCGTGAATTCTAAACTCTACTCACGGTCAAATGGAACCGAAGGGAATTTCAAACCTAGAAAATACTTGCTTCTGAGTAGTGTCTTAGCTCTGCTCTCGGTGACGTTTTTCCGAAGGACTCGCTAGATTGCAGAACAATCGCAAGAAGTGCACCTCGTCGAGTACAGGTCTTGAAAATGTATTCAATGTTAAAAGAAATCCTAGCAGGCAAACAAAATTAACCTTTCGGTGAACTACGTAATTGAACCAAGTACTTTTTTTAACGGACCACAAAATTCGTCGTAAGTGTAGTAATCCGCTTATTTATTCTTGACATTAAGCTTATTTCGACTTAATAAAGCAATTGGTATCAATCGTATGAAAATACGTATTTGACAACTTGATAATCTTGTTAGAACGTCATAGGAAGTTGTACCTTCAAAGAAGCTACGTGTAAAATCTGTAAGGCCTTTTCACTGTTTATAGCGGTAAATTTATATTCACCGTGGAAGCTTTGCACGTCTTAGTTATTTGCTTGATTATTTTTTGACGCTGTTGTGTTGAGCATCCATCTGAAGTGTGCGTGACTGAGTGTTAAGGGTGCAAAGAGTGAAAACGGTACGCAAACCTAATAATTTCGACCCCTCCACCCCTCCCTGCTCCACCCTCTACAAAAATGAGTAGTTTCTGGACCATATTGACTTGAAATTTTACACTTGGTAATTCCTAAATTGACTGATGCCTCACACAAGAGAAAATTATTTTCATATCATATCTGTGCACCACTGAGGCCTTTCATTAACAAAAAGGCTATTCTGGTATGTTCCAATAATGGCTCTGGGTCAGATGCGTTTGCAACAAAGGATGGAAAAAATGAATTATTATTATTATTAACATTATTATCATTATTATTATTGTGTTACATACTCTTAACCAAATTTGAAACTTTACCACTCCCCTCCCCCAAAGCAGCTACACGTAAACAATATAGGGCCTTTTTTAAAGTCCTCACAGTTTAATGCCTCAAGGCTTGCTGGTTTGGCAGTCAGTGGAAAAGTAATGAAAGAAATACATTCAGTTGGATTTAAGTGATTATAATTAAGATTTAAATATCAATTCCAACTGAGCAATGACTCATGATACAGAAAACAAGACATTGATTGCATTATATTAGGTGGCTTGATCCAAATGAGCCAAGAAAGCTTTTTTTTTTGTTTTGTTTTGTACCTAATCATAAAAAAGCCCCATATTCTGTAATTATAAGTCATAAAGTGAAATTCAGTACTCAAACTATATTCAATAGACCTTACTACAGTTTTCAACACCACCTTAATGGGTTGGTGGGTAGGCATGACCTTGCAGTATTTGTATGAGAATCTAATGTCAAATAATCTTTGTGAATTATATTAGGTGGCTTGATGCAAATGAGCCAAGAAAGCATTTTTTTTGTTTGGTACCGAATCATAAAAAGCCCCATATTCTGTAGTAGTAAGTCATGGAGTGAAATTCAGTACTTTAACTATATTCAATAGACCTTACTGCAGTTTTCAACACCACCTTGATGGGTTGGTGGGCAGGCTTGACCTTGCAGTATTTGTATAAGAATTCAATGTCAAATAATTTTTGTGAAAAATTCTGTTATGATAAAAATATCAGAAATATGGCAAACGTAAGCAACAGTTGTAAACGTTACAGGAAAAGGATTCTTCTGTAAAAGAATTTTCTTCTTGCAGACTAAAATTTCCTGAAAAAAAATAACAGACAATGCAAGGGAAATCTATTACAAACAACAAGGCAAATTAAAGGACAGGTACAGCCATAGCCACTATGAAGTAAGCATCCCTACCACTCCCAAAATGCATTATCAGTTGCCTCAGATGTCCAGGCAGTCCAGGCAGTCCAGGGAACAATTTAAACATTGACTCAGTTTTGTGTAATCAGATTAATTGTTGCTAAGCGCATTATTTCATGACAACGTACTTCAACAAGTTAGGTAAACATATAGTATATACCACAAAAGCAAATTATTTCTGGTGTTATCGCTAATTGAGATATCAGATCAAGAAAGTATAAGGTTATTAATAAAGAGTTAAATTTTAGCTGTAAGCTTTTCGAATTATTTATTTGACAATTTACTGTACGTTGTAAAATTACAAAAGGAAACACTAAATTTAGGTTGTAAAACACTAAAAAACTTACTTACTTACCTTTCAGTCTCAAAAAGTTTTCCTCTTTACTGCTTTAAAAATTTGAGCTTGTGTTTACTACTCTCTAGTGTGACAAAAAAGGTCACGCAAGCAAGAAAAGGCTTGGGCACAAATTCAGTAGGCTTGGCTACTGAGTTGAGCCTGGTTTCTAAGCTCCTTCAGAAAGTGATCCCAAAAAAATTTCTGCCCCGCGCTATGCTGTTTTCACTTAGCGGCTGGTCAGCGGTCACGTTTACCAGGTAAACAAACCGATCGATTCCTGATTACCGTTCTTGTCGATCGGAAAATCAAAATACCAGCGTGATATTGCCGCGAAGATGAAGCAGTTATGTTACTTGATTCGTACTTCATGTTCGAGTCGAAGCTTGGGTGGCACAGGTTATTTCTTGCGGTGGAATCGGCGAGGGGAATTCGAACACTAGTTGCAGTGTTTGAATTTTTGAAAGAAATGGTCGCATGAGGATTGTAAGTTTAACGAACAATTTCAAATTTTGCCGCTTGAATTGAAAGTAAAGTTCATTTGAATTGCTTTCTTATATATTTCTGACGGTTTTAGATTTACCTGCTTGATTCATATCGGTTACGCTTCATGTTGACAAGTCCCTCAAAATGGCGGCCAAACTTGGAGATTGCCGAAAATTAGGTAAGTTCACGGAGTTATAAAGTTCTCGTAAAGGTCGGGCCGCAAAGTTTTTTTCTGTAGTTATCTTTTCTATGGCACCTACTTCCTAGCTATGTTAGTTGGATCAGTTAAGAACGCCTCACTTTTTCAAAAATTTACCTTGAATTTGATCGGTTTTGGCGTGTTTGATTTAGGCGAACCGATAAGGTGCCATTCAAGTCTTCCTGTTTCCTTGATTGACACGTGATGTTTACGAAAGTCGCCTCGATAGATAAGATAGAGTTAATATACATGGCTGTGGTATTTTTTTTTTGCTGAGTTCCGTAGTTTTTTTTAAATTGTCCTCCAAAGTTGTATGAAATTAAAGTCTTGAAAAGTGTCACGACAAGCCTTCGCTCGAGTGAAATTTAATTTCCGTAAAACTCTGAAAAATAAAGCGATCCGATCAAACCGATTGTGGTTTTAGTATAGGTACATGAATGTCTTACAACACACGAGAAACGAGCGAAATCCGTGTCTCAAGCAAAATCGACCGGACCGCTCTTACAGAGACACTCTCTTAAGCCACTTAACTCACCTTGCTGGAATGCAGCACAGATGCAAACCAGAATTGGAGATATAAGCAGTACCAACACTTTCATTGTTAAGATTTCCATTTCTCTTCGTTTCGTGAATTTGTCTCTATGCCAGTGCAATGGCAAATAAAAAGTAAAGAAACAGTGTAAGTTCTGGACAAATCGCCCCTCAACTAATTGTGAAATATTCATGAAATAGTCATTCTCTGTCGCAGCGAGACGCTTGCTTTCATGGTTTTTTTAATTATAACTACTTTGTTTTAGAAAAATATATATCGCTCAAAAAAGCCATTTTCCTGAATACGTCTCAGCATTCGTGGGTAATTTACTGTTAAGAGAGTCTTACTTAATATTTCGATCTAACACTTGAAGGAATTTTAAGTCTTCTTGAGGTAAATCAGTATGTTTTTATTAGCGAAAAACCAGCTGCCAAAATGGAATGAAGTCTATATTCGGTTTCTTTCACCAAATAATGTTACACATTTAATTTCAGTCAAGAAGAGTATAAAGGCATTCATTTACAGCCGCTTTTTTGTTAAGAAATTATGGCTAATGTCTCCAACTAACCTAACTAAAAATTGCGCGAAAAGCAATGTGGAACTTCGAACACAGCTTGAAGTCCGCTTTAACGGAGGATGCAAAATAATGAAATACAATCATACAAAGGTTAAATGTTTTTGTTGAACATGGAAATAGACGTGTGATATAAGCTGAACCATGGAGAAATCTTTCAAAAAAAACAATTGAAAGGTCTGTCCCTAATTATCTTTACACTGCATGTGTGTATGCTTTGTAGCTACGTATGGCTGCCAGAAAAACAGATTCAAACTAAACTACCATCCCTGGATACGGGACGAGTCATAACATTAATAATGTTCAAAAACCCGTTTGTCGTTTTCCTCTCTTTTATACATGGAGGTGCTCAATTCACTGCGTCCATGTATATTAAGGTCGAGCTAAGTAAAATCGATAATAGCAGAGCACGTAGCGCGCGCATGAAAATGGTAAAAGGTGAGTCCATTTTCTCAACAATCAGTCAAGTTCGTTAGTAGCATTCCAGTTTTCCAAGTGTGTGATATCCTTCCTCGTGAGCACGACCAGTGTCACCAAACCTCAACTGAGTAACTGGAAGGTCGGATTTGATGGTCAAAAAACCACTGTCCTCCCGCCAAACATCATCGTTCGCATCACAGTTACAGGGCCACTCTTGAGTCGGACAGGTACTAGTCACGTTACACGCACATCCGTCAGTGGCTCCGCCCCAATACTTTTTTTTCTCACCGTCACGTGACACCCACCAGCTAATTCGACCTAAGCGCATTGCAGCATTGTGGCATTCATATTTAATGAACTGTTGGCAGCTATTTGAGACTTCTATCAGTCCCTTGATTTGGGAAAGGCTGCTGCCGTTGTAATGGATGTCACAGCGGTAGCTACCATCTGATTCAGATCCATTGACGTGGATTCTGTCCTCGCTATCGTGACTGATAACTGTCACTCCAACGCTTCCTTTGTCAGTCATGTTACAGTAAACAGGAAATGGATCTTCGCCAAGAACACCGTCAGGATCAATGAAATAATCACCACTAATGTCACTAATGTCTGTCTTCACTTTGGCGCAGGTTTCAGGGTACTTGACGTAAACGGTGACACTTGTTTGAATGGAATTGAGCGCATTAGTCACACGGCAAGTGTAATCACCACCATGGGTGAAATTGACTGAAGAAACAATCAAGTTATTTGAGGAATCGATTCTTGCATAAGGAGGTAACGACTCGATCCCATCAAACATCCACGACAACTTGAGATCGCTTGCAGCAGAACAAGGCAGAGTAAGAACTTCATTAGTCTTCACGGTCACATTCAACGGAGGTTTAACGGTAAACTTAAGAGCTGAATGGACTTTAAGGTGCGTTGAGGATGAGATTGTACCCCAGATGTTTTTTGCAGTACACACATATGAGCCAGTATCCTGTTTGGTGACGTTTTCCAAAGTTAGATTTACTCCTCGAACGTGGCTTCTTGTGGGAGGTAGACTTTGTTGAGACCTGCTCCATTTAATGAAGTGTGGAGGAGGAATACTGATGATTGTACATGTCATGAAGACTTTTTTGCCTTCCTCGGTCTCGATAGAATCAGGAAACACTTGCACTGATGGAGGAGCTGTAATGTCCAAGAATAAGAAATAAAAGTAAAACCCTTTCTTTGAAAAAAAAATTACATTAAACTTTTAAATCTGAATAATAGAAATGACTTTGCATAACATAGGTGGATCAATTGATGAAAAATACCTTCTGTACAGTTGCTTCCAAAGAGTCTATTTCTGCAAACACAACGATAACCTTTGCTGGTGAATCCTGTTTGACATCGATGGATCGCAGAACAGGGATTATCTGAACAAGGGTTCTGTAAAGAAAGGGAGATTTACCTAAATTAGAGATTCGGTGAAAATAATGAGGTATTGTCCTCTATTTGCCGTTTTTACAAGGTAACATGACGTGACATGACATGACATGACATGACGTGACGTGACATGACATGACGTGACGTGACGTGACGTGACGTGACGTGACATGATGTGACATGACATGACATGACATATAACATGGAGCGAGGCGGCAATACATGAAGTGAATTTAATAGCATGGCCTCGTATGACATGACCTAACATGTCACAGCATAACCAAACATGACATGACCTAACATGTAACAGCATAACCAAACATGACATGAGTTTCATAAATGAAATGGCATAAGATGATAATAAATGACATGACTTGCACGGCATAATGCGACATGACATGACATAAAATAACATAAGGATATCATGACCTTAAATGGGATGAGATTACAGGACATGACGTAAGCAAAACAATATTTGACACTGTATTACATGATATAATATGGCATGACATGGAATGAAGTGAAATGGCATTACCTGGAATTGGGGAGATAAGTTTCAAAATAATCTGTGGTGCTGCGTCGGGTGGAGAGTACAAAAGGGTAATTACCGTAAAGATTTTAAAAGCTGAAGTTTCGAGCGTTGGCCCTTCGTCAGAGTGAATAATTTATTTCCTTCGCTCTGAAGAAGGGCTAACGCTCGAAACGTAAGCTTTGAAACTCTTTACGGTCGCCAATTTACGTTATCTGGAATTGGATGATGCGGCAGTTCTGGCCTGAGATTGGGTGGGACGAAAAGACGTTACATAGCATGAATCGTCTCGCTATATGTGCATTGTGTGGCTCTCAATGTATTGTGTATTATTTTCAGTTCTGATAATAATATCTAACTATATGTAAATACACTACCGAACACACAACCTGGCTTACCCGGAATGATTTGTAGACAGCTCCCGCTTCGAATTTGACATCCAGGGGATGAATTTTGTCTGTCGAATTGCTCAGTTCACACAAATACTTTCCTTCTGGATTCCGTGGCTGTCTCAGATTGTACGAGACGCAGTCAGCATCCATAAAACAGTTCACTTCACAGGCACTGGCTGTTTTTATCTCCAGTTTCCTGAAGACGTGATTTTCCAAGTAGAGGTTGTCGACGGAAGGATTCATTTCCACTTCACGACAGCCCTCTAAAAATGAAACAAAGGCGTCTAGGTCAAACATCGCTCCGAGCTAAACTAATGAATTAGGTCAGAACAATGAAACGTTTTTCGGTCGGTTCCGTGATTGAGGCAAATGAAGAAGAACATATGGCTCTCAAATTCACGTGAAAGCTTTGGCGCAGACTTTCTGGACTATTAAGGATTTCACCCGACCATTTAACTATTTTGCAGGAGAACGGGCTTATTTTTTCACAACAGCTTTGATTCAGGAGTGTAAGTACATCTGAAATGAGAACAGATCGTCCTTTGAGACTAAAAAAATTGAAGCATTTTTTTTACACATATGTACATAAGAACACTACTGAAACGAGTAGTTGTAAATAGGACCTGGAAACATTAACCGAATACTGTATTACAGAACCGACATTAGTAGCATCAAGCCCGTTAATTTGAATATGTTTAAAGAAGTTTCTAGGCGTACCTGCAAAAAGTGATCGAATGTTGATTAAATATCTATATTGTTCAATTTCTCGTGAAACATATCTTCTTCGCTCTTTTATCATCTATTTGATACACTAGGGATTTCAGATGTTTCATTTTTCTTGAAAGAAAAAACACTAAATTTTGGTTTCAACAAATTCTACTTGCTTTCATAAATGGTTTGCTTACCTATTAGGATTATGGTATCAAAAAAAAAGATGTACAGCCTTTGATAGCCCGAAAGCTGGAATTCCATGTACTCGAATCAAGCATATACGTGGAGCTCTAATTCACAATTTTGTCCCGGAATTTGGATACGAAGATGCATTGTACAAAAAAATGCCATAGGTATTCATCATTACTGTTGCAAAAATTGCATAAAGACGCAGGTACGAGAGACATTTTGCACAGTTTATAATTTATATTCAGGATAATGCTACACATAATTCTCTAAATTTTGTATCTATGGTGCGCTAATATGGAATGACATAAAGGTCTTTCCAAATAAAATGTGTTTTATAAAAAAATTGCCTCCATTTCTTTTGTGCCGCCGGAGGCGCAAATGAAACGTAGTTTTATCATCTGTTAGCCTGCTTTTGAACTGGAATTCACCTGTTTACCGCATTGTTCAAAACCCAATCGCTTTTTTCGTGCTGAGGCATAAAAATATTTGTTGTGCTTGAGACAACTTATTTCCAATCGGCAGGGAGAGAATGAAATATACTTATTTACTGGAATTACTCTATTGCCGAAATGGTGGGGTACATTTTGATCATATCGTCATATGCATGGGATACGTTTTCCGAGTTTAGAAATAACATCAACTAAATGAATAAAACCCAAGTTGCAAAATTCTTGATTGAAAATATGTTTTCAATTTTGTAGAAAGCAGGCATTGTTCCAAACGGTTTGTAGAAGAACTTCTTTGGAAGAACTCGGAGTAGACTAAGATGATGATGCAAAGTCTGAGAGACACCTTTTATATACAATGGTGGAAGAGAAATTAGACACAAAAGTTTAAGATCAAAATAACAACGTCGTAAGAAAATTCCATTCTCCTTTTTAAGGAAAAAGTTTAATATGTTTTCTCATTAACTTTTATAAAGCATTGTTGATCTTTCATTCAACCTACATCACTTTAAGCTTGCGAGCAACGACGATTCGAGCTGGTCATGTTTCCTAGTTTCATTTTTCATTAATGTAGTAACAACTATTTTGCATAATTTTGAAACTATTTCTTACGCCAATAAATGAAACGTTTTTGTCAGTAATTACACATAATGAAAGGTTTCTAAAATAAGATTCCACTAAGTGAAAGGGAGAATCAAATTTCGAGTTAAAAGTAATGAAAAGCGAAACGCGCAGTAATAGTTAGGTGCATTTATGTTTGCGCATAGCATAGGACTCGCATGCTCACCTTTGTTCGACGCCAAACAATTTGTCCCTAAAACTGTAAGTAGAAAAATAAGTTGAAACGTCACCATGATCTTTCAAAGTTATGTTTTTGGCACGGTTTAGAGTGTAAAAAGCAAGAAAATTTCATGCCTAGCCTCTATCAGGCGAGTGTTTATTCCGGCCGGCGATGTACTGAATGATTCATTTCACCACCTGCTGTCTCTATGTAAAAATATCTTTGTCATTTTGCCAAAAATAGGTCAGCTTTTTCATTCACTATTCTCGAAAAAATAGAATAATCTATATTTTTGCAATCTCATTGATCACCAAACTTTTAAGGAGAAGAGAAACCTTACTTGCTTGACATCAAAGTATGACTGAGCTGCTACTGTTTTGAAAAGTTCGCGAAATTTCTAATTTCTCATGTAAGGTAAAAGGAAAAAGAAGACCTTTTACACACAGCTTGAGGGCAACTTGTTTTTACGACCTGAACTTAAAATTG